AAGCAAATTACAAAAAGAGGTGGTAGACTTGGCTGGATTAAGCTCTCCTAGGTGCTAGCTAGGGAAGCTGGGACAAAGAAGAGGACACACAAAAATGGCCCATTTCCCTTTTTTCATTCTCTCTAATCCAACTGTTACTTGGGTTTGTATTCAGCCGGCAGCAAAACTGAAGAACTGGGCAGATTTTTAACTGTAAATTCCTATTTAAATTCAATTGAGAACTTCCATGTTGACAATATACTCAATAGTTTGCAAGTCTGCCTTTGGTGAAACATCTGCTCCTTTCAGCAGGGTTTGTTTCTAGCTGAAACAGCTGAAGGGATGGGGGAGAATTCTACATCCTAAGTTAGGAGGGGAAAAAAGACCTTAGCATAGAATCATAGCATGGAAGACACCACAAGGGCCATCCAGTCCAACCCCATGTATCAAGATAAGTTACCGTTTCTTCATTTTGAATATGATTCAATTATCTTTTGCATCCAAACTGTATGAAGACTGATAACTTGCTTGCTTTGTAGGCTACTGCACTCCTCCCTAGTGATGGCTTAAACCTAGGGTGAAGGTGGCCCTCCAGATACTGTCCCACTGCTACTCCCATGACCCCACACCACTGGTTCAATTGCCTAAGGCTGATGGAAGCTGCAATCCCAACATCTGGATGGCCACAGGTTTTGGACCCTTGCTTTAGCCAGAAAGCAGTCAGGTTCTCATGCTGGGCATGACTAAGTGGCACCCCAGGAGCAGCGAGGCGGTTCAAGTGCAGCAATGAGTTCTCAACTCACCTCTTGTACTTTCTGGAGCAGTGCTACTATGTTAGTCCTCAGCTTCTGGAGTTTCTCTTTTGTTTCTTCCAGCTTTTGCTCTTGGATGTGAAGCTTTTCCTCACAAGCTTTGGCCTGGGCGTTAGCACGAGTCTGGTAAGAGTTGCATAAGTTCTGCAGGCCCATCTCATACTGCTTGAAATATTCTTTCTGTAAGGAGACAGACCTGGGAGGTAATGCTAGGACTGAAAAAAGCAAACCAAGCCCTACAATTTGTCCTTAATGATGTAAGACACATTTACAATCTGATTTTGTTATAACCCGCTGCCAGAAGAACCCAGACTACTGAATTCTCCTTGTAGCAATATAAGCTGCTACTCATCAGAAGCCAGGACACTCGTTGTAAATAGGTAAACATTTCTGGTTGGTAAGAGGAAGAATTCCCACAGTTTGCATGGATTCCTCCTCTATACCAATCAAGAAGGGCCCTTCATGAGAGGTATCCAATGCCACAATCTGTCTGCTTCATTTGCTTGACTCCAGGACAGGGGCTGGGGAACCATTTCAGGGGGAGGGATTGGATCCCTCCCCAGACTGGACGACACCAGGGGGTGCAGCCATCTGCTACTATCAGGTCTCTGGCCAAAGCACATAGTGGAGCATTCCACTGGTGCTTTAGCCCAGAACCAGGCTTCACTGGTTTATTCATAGATAAAAAGATCTATAGTAGAAAATATTGCTGCCCTCTGCTGGCTAAAAGGAGTTTGGAAAAGGACAGAAGATGCTTTCGTCCCACTTCGTCTCACTGACATCTATAAGTCTACAGGTGTCCTTTCTTCTAAAGAATCCTGCAAACTATTGCTTGATGAAGATGCTGAAAGTTCAGAGATCCTTAGTTGCCGGTGCCCTGCCTCCCAAGCTACAATTCTCTGGAAGATGGAAAGATAAACCTCTTTTTTGTCTAGAATTGAACTATAGCTTATTCATGAATCAAGATAGCTGGTGCAGGTATCTGAATTTTTACTTTTAATGTCTCTCATTTTTCTTCCATTTTAGCACAAAACAAGAGTCGTAGATCCTTCTGTAACCTACAAAAGAAATGAGAGTCTAGCTCCTATCTGGTCACTTCACAAATGTTGATGGCAATACCAAAACCACTAACTTCAAAGATCTTCCTGTCAAATTCAATGCAAGACTCCCAAGTTAACTTTGCAAATTCAAAGCTGTAGCACAGAGGCCAAAAATGCAACGAGATCAGTCTAGCATCAGCAACAAATGTACTAGTTAGAACACAGGACATACCAGAGGGAAA